ATATTTTTACATTTACTAACCTTAAAAAAGATAAAGATAAAGATATACATTTTTATAATAGGATATTTAATTAAAATTAAAGGATAATGTAAGATTAAAGTGGAAAAAAAATTATATTCTCTAAAATATGAAAAAATGACTATTACTCTAAAATAAATTCAAATAAAAAAATTATATTTTTTTGGGATAGATAGAATAATAAATATCTTTCTATTAGTTTAGCTAAGTTTTATACTCTTTAATTTAAAAAATCTTAATTTAAAATAATCAAGACTTCAAAATTTTACAATACCAAGCAACAAACCTCAATATATATATATATATATAGAGGATTGCGCAACTTCATTCTGAATCTAAAAAAATAAAATAAAATCTTAATCTTAAATATCGTTATTTCATTTAATTAAAACCTAATTTAAAATTTAAAAATTCACTTTATTAAATTTTGATATATGAATTTGGAAATGGATTATATAGTCTAATATAAGTTGCTTCTAAATACATGTATCAACATTGTATATGATGGCATTCTAAATTTTGAATTTGGTTTTAATTAACATAAACAATGTCATATAAGGTTAGGACTCCCTTTTTTTTATAGAAGTTAAGATTGATGTGCATTTTTTCCATATATATGGACCTTAATTAATAAAATAAAAATAACTAATCAATTAAATAATATTGAGTTAACTTTTTAATATTTTAAATAAAATAACTTATGCCACATTAATAATAAAAAAATAACTTATATCATGTTATTGATCCCAAATTTTTCTTCTCATATAATGTCTTTTTTATCTTTATTTCTACTCAATACTCATCTTCCAAATTTTCATTGTGATTATGGCCTAAGGAGAAGGCATCTTCGTGCTGATTTGGAAGGAAAGTCCTCCCTTTCTCCCCAACAAGTATGAAGATTCGTTGTCTCTATCTAACCCAAAAAAGAAACAAACCTTGACATTTAGCATTTGCAATTTCATGCTAGTTAGGGAGGTGAAAGTGCCTACCCAAAAAAAGGGTTATGGGCGGGGAAGACCTTGACTTACAACTTTGTTAGGAATATTTTGGAAAACCTTCAAAATGGTTAAAGGTTTAATCCCTAATAACATCAGAAAAATGAAAAAAAAAGTTTAATCCCTTACAATATAAAGCGCTAATCCCAGTGTTTCTAAAAAATGAAAAAAAAAAAAAGATAAAAAGGAAAAAAAAAAACTACTTCATACTCATCTTCCAAAATTTCATTGTAATCATGGCCTAAAGAGAAGGCATCTTCGTGACGATGCGGAGGGAAAGTCCTCCTTTACCCCTCAAAACAAGTACAAAGATTCGTTGTCTTGTCTCTGTGTCCCAATAAAGAAGCAAACCTTGACGTTACTTGTGAATTATTAAAGGAAGACTTAGATGTGTTAGTGGAAGACCGTGACTAGCTATTTCTTTCAAAACACGTTATTATTGTTGGTTCTTATTATAAAATCACTTTCTCATTCTACCGTATTGAAAGGGATATGCAATTTGACTAATATAAATGTATGTTTTTTTGTCATAAATATGAAGATTTGTTGTCTTTATCTGTCCTAAAAAGAGGCAAACCTTCACATTTAGCATTTGCACTTTTGCGCTAGTTATGGACAAGGAAGACCTTGACTGATTAAAACTTGTTAGGAAAATTATTGGATGGAATGGTAACTTGTTAGCATTTGCACTTTATATTTGTTATGGATGGGAAAGACCTTGAATTCCAACTAATTGTTAGGAAAGTTATTGCTTAGAAGAACAGCTTTGTCTAGGTGGGAATGAAATTATTTTTGAAAGGCTTTTAATTAAGATATGTTTAATTTGAAAGAACAAAAGGGAAAGTGAAATGATGAGAGTGATAAATTTTCTTTATTATTAAGTATTTTCTTATTAGTTCCGTTGAGTTAATATTTATTAATTTAGAAAATCTTAATTTAAATTAGTTAGGAGTTCAAAATTTTATAATACTATGCAACAAACCTTAATATATATGTATATTAGATTAACTTGTATAAAATCTTGATTATTCATTTTTTTTAATTTGAATAGTTAAAATTTATTCACTTTTTATCTTTTTTTTTAACAACAATAATTGTCTTTCTTATTTAAAAAATCACGATAAATATAGATTATTCATATAATGGTTAAAATTTTGTGTAAATAATGTATGTTAGAGTTACATATTAGTTGATTTTAACTCATAAGAAAAGGAATTTATATTTTATAAATTGAATTGTTTATTAAAAGTGCAATTCAAGTAATAAAATTATTAAACTATTATTAATAAAATAACATAAAAAATAATTTCATTAAAAGTAATTTAGTAAATTCATAAATTATATTATATTTTTAAAAAACAGTTCACTTATAAAACACTTTTTCATGTAAAAAAAAAAAAATCATCTTCTAAAATTACATTATAGGTATGGGCTAACGGGAATTAAGGCATCTTCGTGAGGATGCGGCGGGAAAGACTTGTTATCTTGCAACATGTTAGGGTTAGAAAAATTATTGGATGAAATACTAGCTTCTACTAATCCGAACGAAATCAACATCTTTTTCTAGGGTGTTTGCCTTTTTTCTTCATAATTTCAAGGCTCTTATTATCTGTCAAGATCCTGATTTATAGTTATTAGGTGTAAAAAAAATATACTAACTCTATTTAAAGAACTTGAGAAAAAAAATGAAAAAGCTACTCCCTTTCTTTAAATTTAGTTGATTTATTTTGACTATTA